GGTACCAACCTCACCTCCTCTTACCAATCCATATATGAGGCCAATTTTCCCCCACTGTTTGTAGCAATTTCTCGCTCTCTCTGAAACACTGGGATGCCTTGCCCATTTCCTTCCTCGGTCGTATTAATGTCCTAAAAATGACCGTGCTACCCAAACTTTTATATCTGTTTGCAACTCTGCCCGTACCCGTTCCTATGTCCAAGCTCCACTCCCTTCAGAAATCTTTCTTACACTTTATTTGGCACAACAGGCGGCACAGGATTGCTCGTTCGGTTCTGCTTTCCCCACGTTCTAGGGGAGGCTTGGGAGCGCCGGATATAATAACATACTACTTTGCAACCCACCTTCGCTTTCTCATGTCATGGTCCACCCACTACCCTCCCAATACATGGACTGAGATTGAGTCTTTGCAATTGTCCCCTGTTCATCCGTGTTCCCTTCTCTGGTCGACCTCAGCAGTGGAAGTCCTTTCTTTTCGACACTTATTCCTAGGTCCCATGCTTTTCTCATTGAATGTTTGGCAGAAATGTAAGGCTAAATTCACATTGGCCTCTGATTGCTCCCCACTGACAAATATCCTTTATAACCCTAATCTTCCAGACAATATGGCCAAGTCCCGGATGTCTCTCTGGGTAGGATCTAACCTTTTTCAACTACGTCACTTGGTACACCCGGTGACTCGTAAGTTGCATTCATTCTCGGATCTCCAGAGGAAAGCCTCTCTACCCTCTCGCCATCTGTATATATACCTTCAAATACGCCACTTTTTCTCTACTCTATCTCCCTCATTGAGCTTAGGGAAACCTACCCCCTTTGAACGTCTATGTATGGAAGGTCCCCACCAAAGGGGTATTGTCTCTAGCACCTATAAAGTTCTTATGGAGGCCCCCCCTTTGTCCAATGACGCTCACCTCTATATGCGTAGATGGTCTCAATTTATACAACGTGATATTGACTTATTGTCATGGAAGAAAATATGGGACAATGCATCTAAATCCTCTATTTGTGTGGTTTTTAAGGAAAATATATACAAGATTATGATGTTGTGGTACAAAACACCAGAAGTTCTTCATGTTTATAATCCGAGTGCTTCTCCTGCTTGCTGGCGCTGTAGTAGAGCTTCTGGCTCTCTTTATCATATTTTTTGGACCTGCAGGTCCATTGCTCCTTTTTGGGAAGAGGTTCGCTCCTTGTTGCAATCGTTGTTGCATGTTTCTCTCTCATTTGACCCATTGCATTTTTTGCTGGGCTTGCCATTCCCGGGTCTACCTAAACTAGCCAGAAAACTTGCTGCACATGTGCTAACAGCGGCCAGGAGAAGTATTTCTATGTGTTGGTTATCGTCTACTCCACCTTCATTGCCAACTTTGTATAAACTTATTGCCGATGTAAGACAGATGGAGTGTTTGACTGCTTCACATAGTGGTTTGTTTGCTGTATTTGAGATGATCTGGCTCCCGTGGGATAATTTCTCTTCCTCTATGCTGGCCTGAAATGTAAGACCCTGATTATTAACGCACTGTTAATATATGACTCTATTGGTCTTGACTAAATGTAATCCTTGCCATCGATGTACTTCTCTGTTTTGCTTGTCTTTTTTGTTTTTCTCTCCTTGTTTTCTGTAACATATGATTTCTTTGAAAACCAATAAAAATTGTTAATATAAAAAAAAAAAATATCAAGTTTTACAGCTTTAAACCTGTAATAAACATTTTGTATTTTTTTTGTTTATCTCCTGCATCTTTAAAAAGAGACTTTAGTAACTAAAGTCTCTTTTAAAAGATGTAAGTTTAGTTTACAGAAGTATAGCATAAGAAAAAGTGCTTATTTTTATGCCAAAAACATGGAATAATAGTTACTGTAAACATGTTGTATATATGTCATTTACCTTAAGCTGGCGGGTATAGGGATGTGCACCATTGGCAGGTCTCTCCTTCAGGTGTCCCCGAAGGCGGTGGAGAGCGGGCCTCTCCTTGCGTCCCCCAAGGCAGTGAAGAGCGAGCCTTGCGTCCCCCAAGGTGGTGTAAAGTGGGCCTCGTGTCCCTCAAAGCGGTGGAGAGTGGGCCTTGTGTCCACCAGGGTGGTGTAGAGTGGGCCTCGTGTCCCCCAAGATGGTGTAGAGAAGGGCTTGTGTCCCCCAAGGCGGTGTAGAGCTGGCCTTGTGTCCCCCAAGGTGATGCAGAGCGGGCCTCGTGTCCTCCAAGGTGGTGGAGAGTGGGCCTCGTGTCCCCCAAGGCGGTGTAGAATGGGCCTCGTGTCCCCCAAGGCGGTGTAGAGCGGTGTAGAGCGGGAAGACATTTCCAAGGCAGTGGAGAGTGGGCCTTCTGTCCCCCAAGGAGGTGGAGAGCGGGCCTTGTGTCACCCAAGGGGGTGGAGAGTGGGCCTCGTGTCCCCCAAGGCGGTGGACAGCGGGCCTCTCCTCATGTCCCCCAAGGCAGTGGAGAGCGGGCCTCATGTCCCCCAAGATGGTGTAGAGAAGGGCTCGTGTCCCCCAAGGCAGTATAGAGCTGGCCTCGTGTCCCCCAAGATGGTGCAGAGCGGGCCTCGTGTCCCCCAAGGCAGTGGAGAGCGGGCCTCGTGTCCCCCAAGGTGGTGTAGAATGGACCTCATGTCCCCCAAGGAGGTGTAGAGCGGGCCTCATGTCTTCCAAGGCGGTGGAGAGCGGGCCTCGTGTCCCCCAAGGAGGTGGAGAGCGGGCCTCGTGTCACCCAAGGCGGTGGAGAGCGGGCCTCATGTCCCCCAATGTGGTGGACAGCGGGCCTCTCCTCGTGTCCCCCAAGGCAGTGAAGAAGAAACCAGAAGTCGGCTTCATAATGAGGCTTAGAGCGCAAGTGGAACACAAATCGATCCCCGGGGCATTGCAAGCCACTCGCTCCATTGCAAGCCACCTGCTCCATCTGTGCTCGCCACAAAAGGATTTCCCCTCGTATTTGGCAAGCGGGTGAGCGGAAATTTCAAGCCCTGGCCTATACCATTGTGCTAATATCGAATAACATAAAATGGGGACTACCACCATGTTATTCTCTAAGTCATCTTCTTTTAGAAAATATATAATGTTTGGGAGTTTTATGTACTCTTCAAGGCTAAAATGATTTCTTTAAACATGTGTGCAAAAAAATGCAAAAACAGCTCTAGCAGCAAGAGGATTAACTATCATATTAATAAATGAAATAAACAAAATAAATAGTATTTGTATTTCTGTCCATTCAGCTCTGAGATTTATACAGCTCTGACACACACACAGCCCTGTCTGGTAGGGCAGGAAATCTGAATTTGTTTTCTATGCTGCAGGTAATAACCTTTACAAATTTGGTCACTCCTCTAGTTGGTGAGTGGACAGTCAAAGAGGAAGCAACAGAATGATAAGCACATCTCTCTGTCAGTCTGATCTGTTCTCCTACTAGAATGACCCTTGTTAGCAAATGAGCACTTCAGCGCAACTCACTGACTTCTGGTGCAGGTTCTTCCTCTCCCAATCCAAGCTCTGCTGTGAAGGGGATTACAAAGGTCTGATACCAGATCAAATTACAGCAAATAAATAAAACAAATACATCTAATTGCTTATTAATAAAAAGCTGAAGGTTCAGCTTTAGCCCCAAATAATTGCCCTTCTGTTTAGACATGTTTTAGACTTAAATGCAAATAATCCTCATGTGTGTCTCTTTAAAAGCACATTTTGTTTGAGCTACCACTGATGTTCTTTTAAAAAAATATATTTGTATTTCCTTATTTTAAAAATTAATAAATGAAAATGGATAAACAAAGGTTTTTTAAAAAAAAAAACATAATAGAATATACATGTTGGACTAGTGAGCAACTGAGGCACTGCATCCTGTATAGAAACATTTAAATAGTGGAAACAAGATGGAATTTATAAGGTACCAAACATACAAAAATATCAAGAATATTAGATGAAAAAGTATTATTTTATTCCTTTCAGTACTAAAATCACATGAGATCAATAAAGTGGTTTAGACTGTATTTGCATGATATATGCTGAACACAAATTTTCATAATGCCTCTAAATCAGTGGTTCTCAACCTTTCTAGCGCCGCGACCCCTTAATACAGTTCCTCATGTTGTGGTGACCCCCAACCATAAAATTATTTTCGTTGCTACTTCATAACTGTAATTTTGCAGTAGGAGGAATAGTGCCACGTCATTGGTGTCATTGGGAGGAATAGTGCCCCCATCATTGGTATCAGTGGGAGGAATAGTGCCCCGTCATTGGTGTCAGTGGGAGGAATAGTGCCCCCTTCATTGGTGTCAGTGGGAGGAATAGTGCCCCGTCATTGGTGTCAGTGGGAGGAATAGTGCCCCGTCATTGGTGTCAGTGGGAGGAATAGTGCCCTGTCATTGGTGTCAGTGGGAGGAATAGTGCCCCGTCATTGGTGTCAGTGGGAGGAATAGTGCCCCGTCATTGGTGTCAGTGGGAGGAATAGTGCCCCGTCATTGGTATCAGTGGTAGGAATAGTGCCCCGTCATTGGTGTCAGTGGGAGGAATAGTGCCCCGTCATTGGTATCAGTGGGAGGAATAGTGCCCCATCATTGGTGTCAGTGTGAGGAATAGTGTCCCATCATTGGTGTCAGTGGGAGGAATAGTGCCCCATCATCGGTGTCAGTGGGAGGAATAGTGCCTCATCATTGGTATCAGTGGGAGGAATAGTGCCCCATCATTGGTATCAGTGGGAGGAATAGTGCCCCATCATTGCTGTCAGTGGGAGGAATAGTGCCCCATCATTGGTGTCAGTGGGAGGAGGAATAGTGTCCCATCATTGGTGTCAGTGGGGGGAGGAATAGTGCCCCATCATAGGTGTCAGTGGGGGAATAGTGCCCCATCATTGGTGTCAGTGGGGGGAATAGTGCACCATCATAGGTGTCAGTGGGGGGAATAGTGCCCCATCATAGGTGTCAGTGGGGGGAGGAATAGTGCCCCATCCTTGGTGTCAGTGGGGGGAGGAATAGTGCCCCATCCTTGGTGTCAGTGGGGGGAGGAATAGTGCCCCGTCCTTGGTGTCAGTGGGGGGAGGAATAGTGCCCCATCCTTGGTGTCAGTGGGGGGAGGAATAGTGCCCCATCCTTGGTGTCAGTGGGGGGAGGAATTGTGCCCCATCGTTGGTGTCAGTGGGGGGAGGAATCGTGCCCCATCCTTGGTGTCAGTGGGGGAGGAATAGTGCCCCATCGTTGGTGTCATTTGGGGGAGGAATAGTGCCCCATCGTTGGTGTCAGTGGGAGGAATAGTGCCCCATCATTGGTGTCAGTGGGAGGAATAGTGTCCCATCGTTGGTGTCAGTGGGAGGAATAGTGCCCCATCATTGGTATTAGTGACACCAATGATGGGGCACTATTCCCACTGACACCAATGATACTTACCTTGCAGACCCCTGCTCCAGCCTGGGCTCGCTCGCTCCCTCCCTCTCCCATGGTACCGACACTTACCTGTCAGATGTCTTCCTTCTCCGGCCTGCTCTCCTCCTCTTCACTCGCTCGATCTTCGCGGTGCCGCTCGGCTCCTCCTCTCCAAGCTCCACCTCCTTGCCGGTGATTGGCCGCCTGTGTGCCTCTCCTGAGCTACAGTGCCGGCGGCCAATCACAGGCGAGGATTGATCTCGAGGTGTGTCCAGATGACAGGGGCGGCATGTCATCCCGCCCACACCTGGAGACGGCGGTGGCAGCGGCGAGGAGCGGTGTCTCGGTTCCTAAGACCATCGGAAATATGTGTTTTCCGATGGTCTTAGGCGACCCCTGTGGAAGCGTCGTTCGACCCCCAAAGGGGTCGCGACCCCCAGGTTGAGACCGCTGCTCTAAATCAATCCTCAAATTACCTATTGCACAACCTGCTTAGCATAAACACAACATGTTTCCCAGATCAGAAGATTTGCTTCATCAGGAGATACAGTATATAGAGGTGTATCAATTACATCAAATTCGAAGAAATATCAACATAAATCTCATTCCATGAATACAGTATATACACCCACATGTACAACATTTACATATGTATATTAAAAATGCATACATACAGTATGTCATAGAAGTCATTTATTCTGTCATGCTGTGAACCAAGACCAAAAATAGAAGACTGCAGTGGATACATAAATTCCTGGAGCTTCAAGAGTGATATAAGATTCCAACATATCTACAAGAGCATACATAAAATGATAGTGAATATTGTATCAGATATAATAAACTCATTGGATTAAGAAGTATATAAACAATTATTACCTTGTGATCCATGTGCTATTATAAGCATACCTTCCTCCTTAGAGACTCAGAGTGGCACTCCTTAACATGGTAGATATGATGAGGTCCTCTTTATGGGTTATACAGTTGTTTCCAACTAAACTAATATTTATAACTTTAGCTCAATCAGCTTTAATGAGCAGATTTCTTACAGAGTCATTCTGACTCATTTAATCACTTCCCATCCACCATATAGCAGACGTACTGCTACAGGGCGGCGCGAGTGCACAAAATTACGTATATATTTGCGACCTTGGCTGTCAATCACTGGCCGGGACTGACGCTGAGCATCTCTGAGGGGGGTGGGATGGGTGAAGAACAGTACAGTTCTCTCCAGTCAGCTCCTGCACACTGCTTTGCACAGTCATACAAAGTAGTGTGCTTACAGTGAAGCACACACACAGCACACTAATGTAAACGGCACACAGTTAACCTTTTGATCGCCCCACATGTTAAACCCTTCCTGCCCAGTGCCATTAGTACAGTGTCAGTGCTTTTTATTAGCACTGATCACTAGTAGTGTCACTGGGGATGTCAGTGACACCAAATCAGTTCCCCTCAGTGGCAGAATGCCCACCTCTGTCCCTTCATAAGTCGCTGATCACCACCATTACTAGTGAACAAAAAAAAAAAAAAAAACAAAATCCCAGTATATATACCACAATTTCTAAACTCTATAACTTTCACGTAAACCAAAAAATTTACATGTATTGTTATTTTTTTTTTAGAAAAGACATGTAGCAGAATACATTTTGGCCTAAATTTATGATGAAATTTGATTTTTTTACTGGACATGTTTTATAGCAAAAAGTCAAAAATATTGTTATTTTCTCAAAATTGTTGGTCTTTTTTTTTTTTTATAGCGCAAAAAATTAAAAACGCACAGGCAATCAAATACCACAGAAAGAGAGCTCTATTTGTGGGGAAAAAAGGACGTAAATTTCATTTGGGTGCAGCATTGCATGACCACGCAATTGTCAGTTAAAGTAACTCAGTGCCGTAACGCAAAAAATGGCCTGGTCAGGAAGGGAGGCAAATCCTCTGGAGGGCAAGTGGTTAAAGGTTTACCACAAACTAATTTTATTATAACTATATGGTTATGGTAGATCAAGTTTCCTTTGTCCTGACATTAAAGTGGAACCTCACTACAGCTGTGTTTTTTAAAAAAATACCTTCTTAGTTTTTTAAGTGGCTGTAAAAGCCAAAGGTTTTTACCTTAATGCATTCTATTGTTAGCTTGCTGGGTAATGCCACTTACATTTATAAAAATATTGCAAAAAAATAAAATGTGTATATATATATATATATATATATATATATATATATATATATATATTATACGATTGCAACCAATCCAAATTGTAATAAAACATTTTTAAACATTCCCTTTTCTTTTCAGTCTGCAGTGCTGTGATTTTGTGTAAAATGCAATGTATTATGGCAACGCGGAGGCGTTCTGTACACAAACGGTGTACAGAATGCCCCCCAAGAAATTTCCTGCTTGTGTGATTGGCTCACCAATTTTCCCAGAAGTCTTCACTAAAATCAAATTAGATTTTTGAAATTCTCTGCAATAAAAAAAATCATTTTTGCTGAGATAATCCTAAAGGGTTAATCACCCCTAAACGGTTTCAGACCCTGCCACTTTCCTCATTAGAACTCTGCAAGTGCAGCAACTGATCAATAATGAAAAAGTCACCACTCCCATTCACATTCATTTTACACATAGAAACAGACAAACAAACATCTATTTCTTTAGATAACAAAATTTAGCAATCTGTAACAAAATTTGTTAAAAATCACAAAAGTTGAGTTACTCTTTAAGAGCAACAGACTAGTCACTAACACTAAAATTTTATGGACTTTACTATATTATGTTACACTTATTCCTGTGAACAGCCTGTGATAAGGTCTTTCATTTCATTTGTCTTCGGCAGTTTGATAACTTGCCAATTGTCTATGTAATACATTCCTTTTATGTATGCTAACAGTTGTACCATTGCTGACTTGCCATGTCTTGTTTTGAAAACTATGTCTCTGTATAAAGGCATCCACCATGAAAGAGGAGGAAGGCTTTGCTTCCTTATGTCAGAGCTGCCCCATGATGACTCATGGACCAACATTCAGGAAACAGCAGGAGAGGTGCAAGAAACAAAAAGATTATTATTATACAGGATTTATATAGCGCCAACAGTTTGCTCAGTGCTTTACAATATAACGGGAGACAATACAGCAACAATACAGTTCAATTCAGGAGGAATTTGAAGCACATCATATATGCAGCAGAAGTTGGTTTAAAGATCCTTGCAGTACACCTTCCTCTCCAGCAAGGAGAACAGTGAGCAGCAGTTGTGACATCAGCAAATGTCACTCTCTCATGAGACTAGCAATAAGAGAAACAGTGCCTAAGATTTTACACTACAGACATACAGGGGTTAGACAAAAAAAATGGAATCATTACATGAATTGCTTGTGTGAAAGTTTCGCATTGAAAGCAGAAGTAACATGTTTGAATTAGTACATGTATAACAAGCACATGTATATAAGAAGTAGCAAGATGTAACATTCTTTTACATCTGCTGTGTGATGAGACACCTAGCTAAAAGGTGGGAAGCCTCACTTTTGTCATTCACTGCGTGCGCTGCTAGTGATACGGAGACATGTCAAAGCTTACTGAGCTTCAAAGAGGGCAAATTGTTGGTGCTGCTTAGCTGGTACCTCTGTGCCTGAAGATGCCAATTTATTTGCTTTGTCATGAGGTACAGTATCAACAGTTATGATGTCATCTGACTAAAAGACAAAAGGGCATTGTGCAGGCTTGTGACCAGGAATAAGAAAAACAACTGCTGCACAAGTGACTGCAGAGCTCAATCTCAGTCCCATGCAGTGTTTCAATTTTATCTAACCCCTGTACATTGTGTAAAGTGCTTTGGCACAGGAAGTGTACTGCTAATTTTCAGGAGGAATTAAGACAAAAGATATTTAGGGTACTGCTTAGCCACAATTATTTGGATTTTCCTGATAAGATAACAAATCTTTACTTTTGAGATCAGGTTCACCTTAAGGTGGTTTTTGTGTTTTTAAATGGGACGAGGGCTCCTCAGGGTTACAAATGGTCTATGAAACTATTCTGGATCTGTAAGCATGCCCCCAAACTACTTTTTTTCAAGAGCCATTTCCATACACACAATGTGTGGACAGGCTCTTGGGGGACAAGGCAGCAGCATTATTTTAATGGGAAAGAAATCAATGATTAACATGAAGAGGAACAAAGAGGGGTGAGGGATAAGTGGAGTCCTGTAGTCCAGTGGGTAGCGGTAACAACACTGGTTGGGATTTTCATTTAGCAAACCCACTGTGTTGTCCTCCTAAACATGTAGTTTCTGGTAGATCAATGTTTTTTATAACTTTTTTTTTAATGAACATACAAAAAAATAAGAAATGTGCATATATTGCAGAGATGTATTAAATGTTATTAACGTACCTTGACATATACTTTAAGTACAGTTTAGACAGCTCTCACCCTCCTTGGCAGGTAGGGCAACAGTCAGTCCCTGAAAGGAAAGGGTACAATTACATTGTTGGTGATATCTAGCCATGACTTAAGCAGATTGTCAAAAAGGCCTGACAAAACCACATCAAACTGCCTAAAAAATTGTTGGCTACAGACATTCATTACAGTATAATTTATAGACTGTTATAGAGTTGGCCTGGCATGAAGCCTGAGAACACCAATTATTATATACTGTAGCTACTAGATAGTTCAATGATAATAATAGTCGTATGAAAACTAAAATTAATTTGCGAAAAGCTGATAGCTAAGGTGTGGAGATAAGCTGGGGTGCCTACCTTAGAACTATGGAAAATAGAAAATAGTAACATGCTTTCGAAACTG